AGGCGCAAGACCACCGGGACATGATGGCGAGGTGCGGCAGCGGTGGGGAAGACGCAAGGCCACCGGGATGTGATAGCGAGGTGCGGCAGCGGCGGGAGAGACACAGGACCACCGGGATGTGATGGCGAGGTGCGGCAGCGGCGGGGGAGACGCAAGACCACTCGGACGTGATGGCGAGGTGCGGCAGCGGCGGGAGAGGCGCAAGACCACCGGGACATAATGGCGGGATGCGGCAGCGGCGGGGGAGACGCAAGACCACCGGGACGTGATGGCGAGGTGCGGCAGCGGCGGGAGAGACGCGAGACCAGGGACGTGATGGCGAGGTGCGGCAGCGGCGGGAGAGACGCAAGACCACCGGGACTATGGCGGGATGCGGCAGCGGTGGGGAGAGACGCAAGACCACGGGACGTGATGGCGAGGTGCGGCAGCGGCGGGAGAGACGCAAGACCAGGGACGTGATGGCGAGGTGCGGCAGCGGCGGGAGAGACGCAAGACCAGGGACGTGATGGCGAGGTGCGGCAGCGGCGGGAGAGACGCAAGACCAGGGACGTGATGGCGAGGTGCGGCAGCGGCGGGAGAGACGCAAGACCAGGGACGTGATGGCGAGGTGCGGCAGCGGCGGGAGAGACGCAAGACCAGGGACGTGATGGCGAGGTGCGGCAGCGGCGGGAGAGACGCAAGACCAGGGACGTGATGGCGAGGTGCGGCAGCGGCGGGAGAGACGCGAGACCAGGGACGTGATGGCGAGGTGCGGCAGCGGCGGGAGAGACGCAAGACCAGGGACGTGATGGCGAGGTGCGGCAGCGGCGGGAGAGAACGCAAGACCAGGGACGTGATGGCGAGGTGCGGCAGCGGCGGGAGAGACGCAAGACCAGGGACGTGATGGCGAGGTGCGGCAGCGGCGGGAGAGACGCAAGACCAGGGACGTGATGGCGAGGTGCGGCAGCGGCGGGAGAGACGCAGAACCAGGGACGTGATGGCGAGGTGCGGCAGCGGCGGGAGAGACGCAAGACCAGGGACGTGATGGCGAGGTGCGGCAGCGGCGGGAGAGACGCAAGACCAGGGACGTGATGGCGAGGTGCGGCAGCGGCGGGAGAGACGCAAGACCAGGGACGTGATGGCGAGGTGCGGCAGCGGCGGGAGAGACGCAAGACCAGGGACGTGATGGCGAGGTGCGGCAGCGGCGGGAGAGACGCAAGACCAGGGACGTGATGGCGAGGTGCGGCAGCGGCGGAGAGACGCAAGACCAGGGACGTGATGGCGAGGTGCGGCAGCGGCGGGAGAGACGCAAGACCCAGGGACGTGATGGCGAGGTGCGGCAGCGGCGGGAGAGACGCAAGACCAGGGACGTGATGGCGAGGTGCGGCAGCGGCCGGGAGAGACGCAAGACCAGGGACGTGATGGCGAGGTGCGGCAGCGGCGGGAGAGACGCAAGACCAGGGACGTGATGGCGAGGTGCGGCAGCGGCGGGAGAGACGCAAGACCAGGACGTGTGCGATGTGCGGCAGCGGCGGGAGAGGACGACGCAAGACCAGGGACGTGATGGCGAGGTGCGGCAGCGGCGGGAGAGACGCAAGACCAGGGACGTGATGCGAGGTGCGGCAGCGGCGGGAGAGACGCAAAGACCAGGGACGTGATGGCGAGGTGCGGCAGCGGCGGGAAGAGACGCAAGACCAGGGACCGTGATTGCGAGGTGCGGCAGCGGCGGGAGAGACGCAAGACCAGGGACGTGATGGCGAGGTGCGGCAGCGGCGGGAGAGACGCAAGACCAGGGACGTGATGGCGAGGTGCGGCAGCGGCGGGAGAGACGCAAGACCACCGGGATGTGATGGCGAGGTGCGGCAGCGGCGGGAGAGACGCAAGACCAGGGACGTGATGGCGAGGTGCGGCAGCGGCGGGAGAGACGCAAGACCAGGGACGTGATGGCGAGGTGCGGCAGCGGCGGGAGAGACGCAAGACCACCGGGTCTTAGGGATGCGGTCACGTCGAACCGCAGAGGCCTCCCAATCCTCTTTGCTAAGGACTGTTTCCCCATCGTCTGGTGAATTCTAAAATGAGCCTTTAGAAATAAAGAGCTATCATCAACAATACGATGGGCGACAATCATGTAAAACTCGCGTGCCCTTCCCAACATAGCGTTTAAGTCCCATGAGACTTACATTGAAAACCGGAGATATCACCACACAAGCCGCTCTAGGTCTGCGCCGCACAGATGTCGGGAATTTCAACCGGCCTGATATATCGGCATCGGCACACAGCGGCAGAGGAAGCCCGTCTGGCACGTGCGGAGTTACGGGCCCACTGCATTCTGGCTTTTGGCGTGTCAGCTATGATGTTTTGGGCAAGGGGTGCTGTACGCTTACAAATATAGATAATCATAAGTTCTTGTTCACACATGTGAACCAATACAGCAGCTCAGCAGCCATGGAGTGTTTGTCCTCGGATTTACCCACCCGTGGCGTGGTGGGTTCGAGTTGCCTTAAGCGTTCGCGGTTTTCCCTGACTAGTGTGCCTGTGGCATGTGTCAGCGGCGGCGCCAAAGGTCACCTGATGTCAGTGAGCAGGGCGGACCGTGTCGAGCATTATGGCACGCTCGCAGGGCGGACCGTGCCGAGCATTATGGCACGCTCGCAGGGAGGACCGTGCCGAGCATTATGGAACGTTCGCAGGGCGGACCGTGCCGAGCATTATGGAACGTTCGCAGGGCGGACCGTGCCGAGCGTCATGGCATGTTCGCAGAGCGGACCGTGCCAAGCATCATGACATGTTCGCAGGGCGGATCGTGCCGAGCATTATGGCACGCTCAACTTTCGCCACCGAATTCGGCCGTTGGCCTAAGTTTCACTGTCAGATGGTGGGGTCGGGGCTCACGCAACACGCACTGCTTAGCATGGGCTCTGACCTCAGAAATCCATCCCATAAAAAGATTCATGGCTTGACGTGCATTATACCTTTCGTGCTTGATGATGTGCATCACATTCATGCCCAGCGACTTGATTGTTCCACCAACGCGTATCGCGGTCCCAGCTTTTCAAGAGATACAATGGTACTCAATCGTGTGCAGGAAGGCCTACATGTGATCCTCACCAGAAGTAAGGTAGATGCCGTTTTCACTAGGACTTCAGATCCAAGCTTTCTTGTCCCCTAAAGCCGTTTCCAGCCCCTCACAAGTTTTCACAATGGCATCGATATAAAAAAGTGCAAGCTGAATTGGCATTTCGCAAGACCAGGCTTACGGATTTCTAACGGTTGGTTAGTTGGTTATTTGAGCTATAGGGTGTATTGACTGCACGGTCATACAGTGTCCATGGGTTTCTAACGCTGGCAACAGCCAACCGATCACGAATTTCAGCTTAGAAAACGTTCTTCCAAGCACGTCTTCGATTTTTAAGAGGCATCCTGCGCATGCGTTAACAGAACGGTAGCTTGCAATGCACGCAATTTTACGCCACAGAAATGTAATGAAACTGGCTCCAGCTTAGGGCCAAACCAGGTTTTTTGACGAGCCAAGTTATACCATTTTATTGAATGCATTTCCTTTTTTCATTTTAAAGTTAAAAGACAGCGTAAATTCGATGTGGCAAAATCCATTTTGGAGCAAATGAGGTCCGCCTAGTCCGTGTGTCAAGCAGGTTTCTCGAGCCCAGACCCCCAAACCGTGATGACCACGGCCATCGCAGCACGCCGGGACCAGCCCCATGTTGGACCGGTGCTGTCCACATTTATCGAAATAAATGGTAGGCCTCGTGCTCTCTCAAGGCGTCCGCGCCCTTACACGTCTTCTTCTGCTTGATGCCATTATCTATGGTGCTGTGAGATAAGGAGGCCTGGCTACGGGATGGAATGCGCGTTAGCGGGCGCCTGTGATACTGCGGTAAGCACGGTTAAGCCGAGGCTGACGCTATCACGACATTCTTAGACTCCCGGGTGACTATGCAGATTGTTCTTGATAGACCCGGATTTAAGAATGCGCATTTGCTGAGCCAGGTTAATCGGCAAGACAACAACGCATGCGCCAGGGATTGCCGTATACCGCGTCACGGTTGACAGCAAACGGCTGAAGCAGCTTCTGCCGTCGGGTTTTTACCGGGCAAAAACTAACTGGCAAAAGTTACTGATAACAAAAACTCGCACAAACTGCAGTACGTACAACAAACCATGGTGTTGTAAGCCTGTGGAATTAAATGAAGCAGAGCACAGCAGCACGTATTACTTGTTAACATTGTTAGTATTAGCTGTTCCTAAATTGTGGATTCGTCCATACATCTCAATGGCTCAGCTGATTAACGCCCCTCTCCGCCTCCCTCCGCCCTGCATTTGACCCGCTCGTGGAGAGGTGGGTTCTAGTCGCTTCAGGCGCTCGCCATTTGCCCCTGACTGTGATGGCCTACAGCCGATGGCAGCGGCCATGCTTAAGGTCAAATGGCATAAAATGGCACCACGGACCGTGCCGAGCATTGTGGCATGTCCGAATCTGCGCAAACGTGTAGTAAAGTAAGGATAAGAACTAACTGATGCCGAGGCCCAGCGTATTCTCAATATCACTTATTAAAAAGGAAATGGCACCGTAACTCATGTAGCAGCATTCTCTTCCTCTCAACTAGTTTCAAAGCGCCCAAAACAGTAGTATGTACTCCGCCAATGGGGATTTCATCTACAGTAGTGCTTTTGTACTGCATGGTTGACACAATGCAGCATACGTTTCGAGACACGCAGATTAGGACCTCACTATGGGTCAGTAACACCAATAAAATAAATTTGCAATTCGGACCATCAAGAAGTGAAGAGATGAAAAAACTTGTGTACATCATAAGAATGTGATGCGGAAGCATAACCCATGCTACAAAATGTTCTGATAACAAAATAATAATGTATTCTGAAATCAGTGCGTAGCCTAATCCTACCACTATGCCACTGAATCCATGCCCAGTTTTTTCGGTTGCATGCGTTTTGCACGCGAGGCTGTGATAATGCTGGTTGACAGTCTGGTTGGTGCTTACCCTGAAGTTGCTCTGGTTCATCCATGGTATTATGCCGTCCACAACACCACCGATGTCCTCGCACTCGATGCTGTTGCCCGGCTCCTCCAGGTAATTGATGATGTCGTTGCTGATGGATACCTTTTTCTTGGTGTCGGTGGTGGTGAGCAGTGGCAGGAAGAGATCCAGCTGGGACATGGCTGGACGGCTGGGCGGACGCGCCGCCTCCGGCACCGGCACCGTTCACAGGGCCGGCCGCTCACTCCGGTCACCGCCCACCGAGCACGCACTCACACGGGCACATGTGTACACTACCACTGCCGGGTTCCCGACCGACCGGGGACGTTCACAGGCAGGCTGGCCAACCGTGCGATGTCGCCCGCTGCTGGAAACACAGAAATGGTGTCAAATTGCAATGTCTGAAGGAAAACTGGGGCAATAAGGACTACCTGAACTTTATCCTCATATGATGGCAGTGCACTAATTATTGTGACACATTCATCTTTCCACATTACTTAATAAGGCATGAATATGATTATACATATTTGAACTGCTGCACTTGGCAATGTTGTTCTCAGCTAACAAGAACCTCTTTTTCAGCTTGGCCACTAAATTGTGCAGGGTCACAATTCACAAGATCATGGGTTTGAAGACCATGATCACCCAAATGATGCACTTTTTATTTGTTGGATGATGTTTCATTCTACATTACTATTCTTAATCCCAGGACCTGCGGCTTGGTCCCAGTACCACTATTAATAAAAAACCTCCTTGGGTCAGTTCCACAAATGATGATAGTATTATCAACCTTTGTGACCGAGTATGTGTATGTACAGTTTTACCACTAACATGGTATATTATCACATGTTTCTTAAAAGGCCATCTCATGGAAAATGACTCAAAATGTATTGTATGTTACAGAGTGCAGGCTGAAGTTATAAATAAAAAAATATCAGGAAGTGAATAATGCCTTACTTATACCATTTTCACCACGAAATTACATCTAAGCGACATATGTCAGAAAGGAGTAAAACCTTCAAGTTTTGGTTGCTAGTTGACTCATTACTGGAATAAAGGATAAGCACCTACTAAGCGAATCATTTTATTTCATTCATCCTAGCATTAGCAGGTCATCCTTACCTCAAACATCACTAGCTTGAGCCTGACAAATTCTGAATGAATGGAATATTGCCAATGTGTTTTTGTTGCATCCTCTTTAGCAAGGATTTCCAAAGGGCCATGTTTGATGTTACAATCAAAACTCTCAGTACTTACTAGTGCAAAAGGGGAGACTGTCCAAAGGAAACATGAATTAAGATGGTACTGCACATCCATTTCCCATATAAAAAGCTCAAAAACAAGTTTTGGTAGACCTTTAAGGTTAAAGCTAGCCTCAGAGCTTGGCTAACCTTTAAATATCAGTTACCTTGCAGGGGTCACCTTGCAGCAGCATAGCTTTACATGGCTTACATTACACAGCTTAAGCAACTGCCTATAACTAATCAAGTCAAGGATACAAATGCAGCACACAAAAAATGGATGCATTTTCTTGCTCAGTCGCAGGGTTATCACTTACCTTTGAACATAGCCTGATAATTTCACGACCCTAGTCATGAATTGGAAAGATACACTTTTGGAATGTTATTACCTTACTATGACATTCATTGTGTATTTCCTAATTTCTAACATGGCTAGGAGTTCCATCACATGATGATCTTTTTCAAGACACCAGTGTTATCTTTTATAATCACACAAACTACTCATAGATACTCTATCTTCCAGGTATCATAAATCATATTCCTTCCAAAATAGTCATGCCTCAAGTCTTGCTTACATGGCCTCAGCCATGAACTTTATCAGAATTTCCATTCTGCAAGGTCAAATGGTGTGATAAGTAAGAGCCATAAGTGAGAAATAGAAATGGTTATTATGCCAAAAACCCTAGATTTCACCTAATACTTGACACTTATCAATCCATGGCTCAATCTTTCTTTGTATTCTACTTGCATGTGATATTTTTAGTCTTGGAGGCATAGGTACTGGTAAGCAGAGGGTCAGTAGTCATGTTCCACAAAACTATACTCCCATAGCCAAATAAAAAAATGGCTGTAAAGAACAGTTAAAGAAAGCTGTGTAAACCTCAGAAAGTTTTACCCATGATATGATATCATACATTTAGACTCATTTAGCCCAGGGCGGTTTCAGTTTCAAGGATCATATTATTTCTTGTCACTGTAACTATTGAGTGCTTAGTTTATGGTATCATTACAACCCGAGAGTGCTAGTTGGTTTAACTGCACCTTTTCACTTTAATTGACTACTGACACATATAACTAGGCCACTGTGCACAGATATATTATTAAACTTTAGGTGTTTTTACTGAGCATTAAGTTTCAAGTCAGCATGCCTACTGTGTCACTAAACTAGAGCATAATCTACCTAATCCAGAACATGTGCGGCTTGCAAAATAGATGCTCCCATGAGCAGCATTTAGACACCAGTGCATGCTATTGATCCCTGTAAATAAATGTAATATACAGTTAAAGGAAGAATACCTCAATTATATCAGGCCATTCTAGAGGTGGCCATCACTGAAAATGTGCTAGATAATATCAAATTAATGACCTTAGTGATGGTCTTAGTACTGGCCTTAGTATCAGCAATGGCCTAACTGGCAAAAGATAAGTAAATAAGATGATTTGGCACATTATTCATGTTTAAGAAAACTGACATTAATATTGTTGACATAGGTTTAGCACTGTCCATGACAAATGCCAGTTGAACACCATCACTTCAAGTATGGTACCACAATCAAAGATGAGGCTGGTGAACAATCAACCTCTAAGATGAGACATGTGCAGTGGCCATTACCCAGTGAAAAGGGGCTATTACACCAAAATATATCATTATATTTCATTATAAATATTTCACTACATCATATTCAAAATATTATACTCTGAATGCCATACTACCAGTTGGAAAGAGTGAGCAATGTGTGACACATCCTAACCTCTGCAAGATGGAGGTTCCATTTCCAATAAGGACCAATGCATTTGGGTGAAATATCAAGCACTCTTTACAATGGCAAAACACCTATCCATCATGACAGGTTCTGCAAAATGGGTCTCAGTCAGGAGGAGGATTTTTATTTCACGTTTTGAGGCAACCATTTTCCAACAACAGATTTCAAACTGGTCACATTGTTTCCAAGAATGGGAGTACTACAATTTATTAACGCGAGTTTACTTTTCCTTCAGCGTGGTTTACACATCAACGGTGCGATTATTTGTATGGCACGCTCCGCATATATATCATATCACACACATGACGGCATAAGAAAACGCCAGGTGTGTTTGTATAGTTACCTAAATTGTATACGCCAGTCCAGGTTTAAAATCACAGTCTCGCAGGTTCCACGAACGGTCAGCACCCGAAAACCACACACCGACCCCGCCACCGCCCAACCGAACCAATCGTTGGCCGCGTCGCTCGAATGCCGCAAACGCCACCAGCGCAGTGCTGCCGTTCAGGTTTTAGCTTAGCGTACCCAATTTGGGTACAAAATGTACAGCATTCGCTTTCCGCCGTCCATCCCGCGGGCAGACGCCAACTCTGTGAGCGAGGCAGAGAGAGGCATGCACCCACATACGTGTGATTTCGAGGGTGTGCATCTGAATGAATATGGAAATCTGACATTGAGAAAATGTCAGATAAATCGGGACATGAATGTGCAGCTAAACCTCTACGATTGCTGACAGGTCAAGCAGTTACTCATTTTATTTTGCTACCTGAAGATGATCTATAAAACAGATAAATGGCGGGCCAAAATGACCACGCATAGGAGAGTGGTACTTTTCAACACTTAATGAAATGTACGGTTGAGCACCTTTGGACATCAATTTGTATGTTTAAAAGATAGTCCGAGCGCAAATTTCACTTGTGTGGCTTTAAACTGATGATAGTAACGGATTAACACATACCGCACCGCAAGCTGGTGCTGGATTCTGATGGAACTGGAAGAGTAAAGGTAAAATCTATGTTTTTCGTGTTGGTGTAGCTATCAGTATTCTCAGGGAGCAGCCTTGAAGTTATGCCGGTAGACTGTGCGCCTCAGGCTAATCTTTTGAATGGTGCGAATGGATTTTGAGAGAGTTTTGGAACCAATATTTCACAAAGGTCGTTCTCGCGCGCCCGGCGCCCACCACCTGGTGTTATCTGTGATTATGAGCGCCTAAGCTCAAATCATTCTGCAAAATGAAAGGTGTTCCCAGGCAAACATCGGCGGGCTTTTTCATTTTTGACCCCATTTCGATCCACTTCATTGAGCTGTTATGAGATCCCTACCTTTTCCGACCAATGGGCCCAGTGAGTGGATTAGAGAGCACGTTATCGTTTCTGGCCAAGAGCTGAAGTGTCACTCTGTCCCAACGCGGAGTGCCTGCCGACTGTCATTCTGACGACACGCGGAAGGGTCCGCGCGGTCAACGGGGCGGATCTTTGCATCATCAATCCACAGTTCGCATTGTTCAGCACACTGTGCTAACAGTAGCCCTTCCAAGGCCAGTTGGTCGGCCACTGCAGCCAACCCATCGCCCGGTGGTCTGCCGGGACACAACCTGGGATAGACCAATGGCGACGATGCTATCGGTGTGCCGTATTTTGGTGTGCTTCTACTGGATAAAACACTTGATGTAAACATGTAGTTTTTTATGTTTTTTTTTCTTTCTTTCTCCACGAGAAAACTGGCATTTCACACTCAAACCCACTTCGGGCTAAGTGTATTTTGCATATCCGATTGAGAATTGGGTTAGATTGGGCTCCCTTCGCTGTGTCCTCTATGTCGCATTATTAATGACCATGACAGTGACTGCCAGAAACACTCGTTTACTTTGAATGGTTTGTATATGTACGTTACTGACTACAACGGAATGTGTCGGGCACCCGTAGTTACCAAATTGCACTAGACTTGGGTGAGCATTCGCTCTACGAGGACTAGGAATTGTACCCGACGTGATAGGTCTGTACCAGAACGGCAGCGCTGCACTAGCGCCGCCATACCGCTCTCGCTGCTGGGTGTGTTCAAATTACCATCCAAGGTCGTGTATCACACCGGTACCATGAGTGCGCTCGATTGACACTATCAGCGTAAGTATTTGTGAGTTCACACACAGACGTCTGAGGTCGCGTTGCAAACAAATCAGGCCTACTGTATCATGACGCGACGAAAACAACACGTGACTCCGGGATGAAATAAATATTGGCTGTTCCGGTGCCTGGACGTCTCCGGCCGCGTTGCTACGTGCGGGCCTTCGACCTTCCAAGGCCCCTTCACCATTTCGGATCTCTTGAAGGTCTTAGTTCCCTTGGTTGCTGGGGAAAGTTACGTTACGTTGAGGATCGATGCTACGTTACACAAGTCTCATGATCCACTGGAATCTTAAAGCGACTTGGGGCACAAAAATATGCTTAACTAAGTATGTGAATAGCTGTCGTGAGATCAGCACATTCTCACGATTTTTTGTTTCAATATTCTCCATGATTGATGTCTCTTACGCTAAAATCGTTCTGCAAGGTTTTGGCTCTGGTGTCCGACGGAGTCGGTATGCAACAGTGATGCTACCATTATGACAGCATTTTAGGGCAGAATGTTATGCTTGAAAGAGGGCCGGTAAAGAGCGCAACTATAACTCAATGTCAGGGGGTCATCATCACAGCTTGAGAAATTGGTCGGGCTGGCGGCTCGGTAACGTTAGGCGGTGACGTCACAAAGTCGCACCGGCTTGCGCGGCGGCGTTGCATGGCAACGCCGACTGCGTCAATTGGAAAACAGTAGTCACGCTGAAATGTTGCGGTCTCATTTACTATCGTGCAGTGTGATGTCAAGTATGTGTTGTTGCATGGCCTCGGTGCGTGCTATTGTGTCGCGGATGTAAGAAATTCGAAGTGGCGTGTGAGCTTCTGACAA